GTTTGTAGAGTTGGAGGCCAGCGGTGTGACCTCATCGATTTAAAAAGCAAGTTACTGTTAAATTTTAGTAAGGGTTATTGAAGTTAAAAGATTAAATTCAAATGCATTCCATATTTTTGGTTTGAAACATCAAAATGGTGTATTTTAAAATTATGCAACACTTCCTGCTGGTCTGTCGCATAAAATTCCACTATAATGGACTAAAGTTTGTGGAACCTAAAAAGCTTTGCAGCAGTCAGAATCCTCCAGCACACTCAGTGCTGTTTCGTGTCATATTCCATTAAAAGCCTTATAGTTGAGTAATAGAACCACTTAGAACTGTAGTTAGAAGCTTAGTTTCTTCAAATGAAACATGAGATCCTGCTAATTTTTATTCTAAAGGCCACATATTCAAACATTGAAATTTTGGACCCTTTTATATGTCTTTGTCTTTTAGAATTCATGCCAAGACATGGGAACATCGGGAGCAGCAGGCCAAGGAGAGGGAATATGCAGAGATCCAAGATGTCATCAGCCGCACTTTCAGCTCAGATGAGGAGCACACTTACGCTGGCATTGGGTCGTTGGGCTCTTCTCTAGATAGCAGCAGCGTGGACGCATACAGCCACCACTACCATCTCCCTCAGAGCCCACAGAGCCCTCACACACCCCTGAACCTCCAGAGCAATGGTCCACCCCTGGAGGCGCTGTACGCCCAGGTCAACAAGCAACGCAACGGACGACCTGCAGCTCCAGACAGGTAGGGGGTTTCAATTAGATTTTTGGATTGGATAAAGCTAACTAGCCTGCTTCTCTGTGCTTAGTGATTTGCATCAGTCTGCTTGATTTACATCTCATCTATTATGTATAGGCAGTGGTGTGAGTGAATTTGTTCACTTTTACTTGGCAAAGATGACACATGGTTCACAGAGCAACACTGAATTTCACACAGAGTTTTATCACATGCTTTATTCTACAGGGCATTCACAGAGCACAGAGCAAGCTGATAAAATCCAGCAACAAAGTAAAAGAACATCAGAATCCTTGCAGTGATTCTCCATGTGTTAGAATATATTATCAGGAGTTGTCTCACTTTTTTTCTCATTTTGCTGGGATCATAGGTAATCCTCCCCAGACTCTCACACAGACGCGTCTTAAACTTCAGCACAGAAGTAGCATATAGCTTTGGCATGCCGGTGAAATAATGAATCTTCAGTTTATGAAGTTGGGATGGAATAAAGTTACTTTCCTATTCCAACAGGAAATTACCAATGTTTTCATCTACAGCAGCAGTGGAAAGGCTCTAAGAGCTTGTTACACACTTTGTCGGCTCAGTAGCTTCAAATCTCTATTTTACATTTGGACCGAAATGATCTAATCTATTCGGAAACCACAGGAGAGATGAATGTAATGTTGTGAAACTTTTTGCAACAGATGCTGAAGGGCCGCTTCAGGCAAGTTTTGTAAATTGGGAAATTATTAGGTAATGTCAGGAAAGTTTTCTTTTTTTTTATGAAATGAGAAAAAAAAAATGCAATCCACCTTATAATATTAATTACTTTATTTTTTTAAAAATCCTATAGAATCTCTTTAATTGAATCGATATAAGGATACATGTGTTTCATTGGGGGGAAAGTCAGAGGAGGACCGCTGTTTTTATTCTTACCCAGCCTTGAGAGCGCTCCTGAAGGATTGGATGATTCTCACCTCGTCTGATTGACATCTGTCACTTGGGGGCTTGTGACCTTTCCCTGTTAGGCTCTGGCTGGAGCAGTGTGTGACCGACAAAGAACTCCTTATGATAAGTGGGTGGCTGTTTTTAAGAGGATTTGAGGAGGAAGGATCGCCATCATGTAACCCTAAAAGATCAGTTCCCTCTGAAAGTAAAACCAGTTCATAAATAATTCAAGAGGCAAAGATCTCTTCATATATCCTAAATAGGAAGCTTCCTTTTCATATATTCTTAGATTTTTGCCAATCATTATAAACATTTTAAATAACGGATAAAGAAAACACGTATAGAATGCTATAAACTGCTAGATTTGATCTAACTGACCAATCACAGGACAGAAAATGAAGACGTAGGAGTGGGTCCTCTAGCTGGCCCTGCGGGGCAAATCTTAAAATCAGACGGGTTGAAGAAAACCTTGCTCATGAATGTTGTTAAGGTGAGATCAGGCTACTACTCTGATTCTGAAAGCTCTGGGCAGATTTGATTGACATAGAAACCCCCAGAGGCTGAAATCTGATTGGACAAAAATTTTGCAAAAACATAAAACCATTTCTCCTGTCAGTGCAGCCAAGAGAAACGCTACAATATTAAGAATTTTTATATTATTTGGAATAAAATTAATACAGTAAAAAAAGAGAATTAAATTAAAGTTTAGGTTGTGAATGTATGTTAGTGTTCCTGATTGATTTTAAGCCAGCAGTGAAGGCTTTGAATAAGTGTTGGCCCTCACCAGCCAACACTTATGTTTTCTGTTTTTAACTAAGCTAATATATCTTTCTTAATAAACTTATTTTTACTAAGCACTGTTTTATATCATAAACACTTCAATTGTATTTTTGAAACAATCAGGAAGTCTTGCTACCTTCTTTTTAAAACCTTCTGCGATATTAACCATGTCGCCACTCACCTCCAAACCATGGTTTCCCGCGGGTCCTTAAAGAGTCTTAAAAGGCATTGAATT